AACCCACAGGAACCGAAAAGTGACGACGGCTACAAGGTTCCGATGACCCGTTCGGATTACCAGTATGAAAAAGCGGATCCCATAAGGGTGGGGCTCACGCCTCAGTTTCCCTCGCAATTCACTCGCTGACGAACCTCCCGCCTGAGACTTCCTCCAGATTCAACCCAGGGAGCCGAATAGCGACGACAGTTACAAGCTTCCGATGGCCCGTTCGGATTACAAGCATGAACTGCGAACGTCATGAGGAGGGGGCTCTCGCCTGAGACGTCCTCGCAATTCACTCACAGACATAGCTCCCGCCTGAGACGTCCTCCATCTTCAATCCAGAAGAGCCGAACAAGTGACGACTTTTACAAGGTTCCGATGGCCCGCACGGATTACCAACATGAAAGGCGGATCCCATAAGGAGAGGGTTCACGCCTGAGTTGTCCTCGCAATTCACCCACAGACGAAGCACCCGCCTAAGACTTCCTCCAGAATCAACCCAGAGGAGAAGAGACGTGACGACAGTTACAAGGTTCCGATGACCCGCTCGGATTGCCAACATGAAATGCGGATGTCATAAGGAGGGGGCTCTCGCCTGAGACTTTCTCGCAATTCACGCACAGGCGAAGTTCCCGCCCGAGACCTACTTCATTTTCAGTCCAGGGGAGCCGAAAGGTAACGACAGTTACAAGGTTCCGATGGCCCGCTCGGATTACCTACATGAAGTGCGTACCCAAAAAAAAATGAAATCCCGCCTGAGACTTCGTCGCATATCTCCCACGGACGAGGCTCCCTCTTGGTCGATGATCACGACGGGATGATGACAATGATGAGTGTGCGAAGACAGTGGTGATGGTGGTGGGTATTGGTGAGCGGTGATTGGTTGATAATGATGGTGAATGAGAACGACGATGACGGTGATGCTGATTGTGGTGATGCTGTGTCTGATGGTGCTGATGCCGGTGGTGGTCATGGCGAGGAGTGCGCCAGCTAATCTGGGGATGATGACGACGATGATGATGAATAAGTGTGTGTTTGTGCGGGGGCTTGCTGATGATTATGAGCGGGTGTGTGCTGATGATGATGATGCTGATGGTGGTGCTGATGATGATGAGTGTGCAGAAAGAGGTGGGGGGTCATCCTGCGCGGAGGCGTGCACAGAAAACACGAAGCCCACTTAGGATGTGGGAGGCAAACAAACCAACACACAACAACAGCAACCACCACAACAACAACAGCTGCAGCAACAGCAACAACAACGACGATAAGAACAACAGCAGCGGCAACAACATAGCAACACTTACCAAACACACAACAACCCCAACAACAACAACAACAGCAACAACAACAACAACAATCAGTTTAAGACAGTTTACCCTTATTTGCTCGAGTGTCCTAAGACGCGTATTTCCCAAATCCTCGATACCCGCCCTCTTCGTCTTGGATCGAAGCCTTTCGGGGAGGTATACCTCTCTTCCCTGCAAGCCGGGCCCCGGTAAGCGGCGGGGCGGCCGCGGACCGTCGGCCTGGCCAGCGGCAGCGCTGATCGGCGGGGCGGCCGCGGACCGTCGACCCGACCCCAAGAGGGACGGACAGGGGACCGACCGACGACGACGACGACGACGACGACGACGACGACGGCGACGACGAGCGAAAGCGAGAGCGAGAGAGAACGACAGCAGGGCCACGAAGGACACGAAGTAGGCCACGAAGGGCGACAGCGGGGACACGAAGGGAATGCGTATGGGGCCACGAAGAGCGCGAACGAGCGGGGGCCACGAAGGGCAGATAATGCAGGGCCACAGAAAGCAACGATGGGGCCACTGAAGATAGCAACCGGGCCACGTAGGACAGTGAGGAGGCCACAAACGGCGACAGCGGGGCAACGAAGGGCACGCACATGGGGCCACCACAGGCGCGAACGAGCGGGGGGCACGAACGGCATACGTATGTTGGGCCGCGGAGGGCAAGGACGGGGCCACTGAGGGCAGCAACGGGGCCACGAAGGGCAGCGAGGGGGCCACGAAGGGCGACAGCGGGGCCACGAAGGGCATGCTTATGGGGCCACCACGGGCGCGAACAGGCGGGGGCCACGAAGGGCATACATATATGGGGCCACGAAAGGCAAGGGGGCCACGAAGGGCTGCAACGGGGCCACGAAAGAAAGCGAGGGAGCCACGAAGGGCTGCAACGGGGCCACGAAACAAAGCGAGGGGGCCACGAAGGGCTGCAACGGGGCCACGAAACAAAGCGAGGCGGCCACGAAGGGCTGCAACGGGGCCCACGAAGGGCAGCGAAGAGGCCACGAGCGGCTGCAACGGGGCCACGAAACAAAGCGAGGGGGCCACGAAGGGCTGCAACGGGGCCACAAAACAAAGCGAGGGGGCCACGAAGAGCTACAACGGGGCCACGAAGGGCAGCGAGATCCAGGTGAGCGCGACTCCTGGGTGCCTGGGTGTCGGGAGCGCGGCGCTTGAGTAAATTGCAAGACATTCCCACGCAAGGGCGCTAGTCGTCAGTAAATTGCAAACAAGTCTCCAGCGAGAGCGCGACTCCAGAGCGACGGGAGAGCGATTCCGGAATAAATCGCAAGGAAGTCCCAAGCGAGAGCGCGATTCCTGCATACAATGCGAGCAAGTCTCGGGCGGGAGCGGGGGTCCTGGCTAAACTGTGAGGAAGTCACAAGCGGGAGCCGTTGTTGTTGTAATTCGGGGCCAAGGGCGGAATTTGAGCATCAAGACTTCCCCTGGTAGAAAACAGGGTGCGGGTGTCGAGGGGCACACTTTGATTAAGAAAAACAGCATGCACCGGTGAGGGGGGATCAACAATAATTATTCTTCAGAAGTGAGAGTTCAACACCACCAACAACAACGACAACAACAACTACAACAACAACGACAACGACAACGACAACGACGACGACGACAACGACGACGACGACAACAACAACAACAACAACGACAACGACGACGACGACGACGACGACGACGACGACGACGACGACGACAACAACAACAACAACAACAACAATCATTTTACCCGAACGCTCAGTGTTCTCACCAGTGCCAGGGTTTTCATGCGACGCCAGCCAATACCCCCACTTTGTGGGGGGGCAGTGCAAGCTCTACCAAATATCCACACGACTCTTCGCCACCACCCACACCCAGCTTCCCGCCCTATGACGTTCGGACACTTCACTTCGTGGCCTGCGGACGACCGTGGCTACTACACTGGCGTGGAGTACACACCCACAGAAGTTGTTAAGCCTACGTTCGTACACCCACAGAAGTTGTTAAGCCTTGTTAACCCACAGAAGTTGTTAAGCCTTCCACAGAACATCTGTTGCATATGATGCATATGGTACATGATACACATGATACACACGATACGTACTCACAAGATAGTTGATCACATCTGGTTTTTGGAGATTTCGGCGTGCGCGCGCGAAGAAAAAACGAATGTGTCCCGCATGGTATTATTTGACAGGGATGATGGCCCTGGCAGGTGCGCAACCGTTGTCGCAGAAGTTCGAAAAAGTTGCTCGCAAAAGCCCGTTTGACAGAAATGTTTAAAAAGTGTTGGGTTTCCTACGAATCCGCAAGAGCGCGCGGGATGAGATTTTGACATTTTTTTGTTGAAAAACCATTGGTTTTTTGATGTTTTTATGTTAAAATCGCTCCGAACACTAAGCTTTTGGAAGGATTTCGTCTTGCGCGCGCGAATGTCCACTTTACCTTATTTTTTGCAAGGGATTCTTGAAATTTGATTATATTAGAACAAGAAATGTCATTTTATAGTGTTTTTTGCAAGGGACAGCGGGGGGGAACAAAACAACCGGATCTGGATGACATCGTTTTACCTGAGGCTTCCTCACGAAAATGATGAAAATGTAGCTGCGGCCTAGGCGCGGCGGGGGGGGCGTGCACCAGGGGGCCCAACAATAATTATTCTTTAGAATTAATAATGTTCAACAACAACAACAACAACAACAACAACAACAACAACAACAACAACGAGAATCCGCATGGCGGAATCCCACTTCAGCGACGCAGCCAGGGACAGTGAATGACCGTTCGGCCCCCTCACTCTGATGTTGGGACAAAATTGTGCTCTGCATGCATCGGAACAATTGGAGGCATGCCTGTCCGCTCCTGCTGGAAGGAACCGGGAACAGTGAAAGGGGGCGGGGGAGGGGGGGGAGGGCGAGGCCTTTGCCGACTCTTGCGCTGGAGGAAAGATGGGCGACTAATCACCGATAACATGAGCACGGGCCTCGCAGGCCCCGCGCGCGATTCGCCGCCAATGTGTGCGTGGGGGAAACGAAGATAGATAGGGCGAGAATGATGCCATATAAGATTGGCTCAGGATGCGTTCCAGGATTTCCAGAGTATCTAGCGGCGCAGCCATTGCAGAGCATTCGCAAACATGGGAAATCCAAAAAACCTTGGAAACCTTGGAACGTATCATTAGCATGACCTCTTGCTCCTCTGAGCAGAGGGTGGACGGCCCTGGCGACCTCTGCGCCACTGGAAGGCCCCTCAGAGGTTCTCGAAGATGCCCTGCGCCCGCTCGGCGGAGATCTCTCAGAACAGCTGGCTCTTCGTGCTAGGCTCCGCACCAGAAGTGGCTTCCCCCTGCTGCGCGGCGATGGTTTCGCCGTGCGCTGCGTGCATCAACAACGGGCCGCCTCGAGGGGCTCGCGTACGGGTCGTGACTCCTGCGGGCGTTCGGGCCTCCCCCTCGGGTGCGTTCAAATTCAAGCCCCCAGGGGACGGATTTGGACTTGAGCCAAAACTGGCTACGGAGGAATATGACGAGGGCAGAGAAAGGAGAGTGAAGAATGAAGGAAGTCCGACAACCGCTCAAGAGCCCAATTCGTGAGGAGGAAGAGGAGGGAGGAGTGGGGGGAGGAAAAGGATTTCAGATGGCCACCCCCGCGCTCCTCCCGCGAGGAGGAATGGGAACGAGGAAGAAAGGAGGGAGGAAGGGAGGGAAAGAGAGCGACGGCCGCCCACGAGATCCTCTCGTGGACCTCCAGCAAGAACCGAAACGTGTGACCCTTGGGCTCCAAGCCGTCCATCAACTCCCCGGGCGTGCGGCATCGGCTGCCCGACGCGTGCGTCACGGCGCGCTTCAGCAGGCCGAAGGCGTCCATGCCTGGCTCCTCCCGGAAGCCGGGGCTCAGCTTGGCTATCTCCGCCATGCTCCTGCTGGCTGCGAGTTAGCATGAAGGAAACGGGTCCCAGAGGAAAAAAACTCATGGCTTGTTGTTTGACGCTTTCGAACCGCTCGGGCCCTCTGCGGGCCCCGGGACCGAAAAATTGTCCTGGCGGAGGACCCAACCATATGCAATTGTGAAAGCCGTGATGAAGCATTGCTTTCCGTGGAGCTCTCTATGGGGCCACGAAGCGTGTGAGGGGTGCGCCAAACTGGGGTGGTGCCGCCAAACGAACCCTGTCACTGGGGCCGTCGGTGGACCTCCCTATGGGGCCACGAAGCGTGTGAGGGGTGCGCCAAAGTGGGGCGGCACCGTCATGTGGACCCTGTCACTGGGGCCTCCGGTGACGCTCCCTATGGGGCCACGAACCGTGTGAGAGGTGCGCCGAGAAATGGGGCGGCGCCGCCATGCGAACCCCGCCGCTGAGGCCTTCCGTGAATCTCCCCGTGGGGCCACGAACCGTGTGAAGGGTGCGCCAAAGTGGGGCGGCGCCGCCATGTGGACCCTGCCACTGGAACCTCCGGCAACGCTCCCTACGGGGCCACGAACCGTGTGAAAGGTGCGCCGAGAAATAGGGCGGCGCCGCCATGCGAACCCCGCCGCTGGAGCCATCAGTGGAGTGGGGCCACGAAGCGTGTGAAGGGTGCGCCGACATGGGGCGACGGTGCCACGCGGACCCTTCCACTGGGGCCTTCGGTGGTCCTCCCTGTGGGGCCACGAAGCGTGTGAAGGGTGCGCAAAAATGGGGCGGGGCGGGGCGATGGGGCGGCGCCTCCATGTAGACCCTGCCGCTAGGGCGTTCGGTGGAGCTCCCTATGGGCCACGAAGCGTGTGAGGGGGTGTGCCGACATGGTTGAGATGCTGAGGGCAGAGGCAGATGAGGGAGGT